ATCATTCAATTAAAAATAAAATAAAAATAAAATAAAAATAAACAACCTAGCGATCATTTGTCTGTGCATATAATAAAACAATTCTCCTTGACGATCTTTGGAAATGGTTGCATTTTTTTTGAAAGGATCTGGGAGTGCACCAGGTGGATAAACATTATGCCAATGTTCGTGATGTTCATTAAGATTAGGATCGTCATGATAATACTTCATTAAATGACTAATTGAAGAACCAACACTTGGAGAAGAGGGAGCAATCGCTTTTGGTATACTGATTTCAGGAGCACGATGGGTTAATGGTGGAATACGAAGTCCACTTTTACGTGCATCAGGATGATGAGAAGTAAAAATCATCAAAGCATATTGAACTTTCTGGGGGTCTTCAGTTTTCATATCTTCTTGTGCTAGAGCTAACGCTTGTTGAATTGGATTATTGCCTACTTCTTTTGCGTCAATTACAGCATCGTAATATTTTCTTAACAAAACAATTGACTCATTGAATTGCCTACGATCAAACTTAAAAAAAAATAGGCGAAATTTTAATTAATAATTTAACCAATATAAATAACAATCGACAAAATTAATAATTATTTAATTTATAATTTACAATCGTAAATCCTTTAGGATTTGTTTCGGCTGAAGTTTGCCTGAAATCAGGAGTAACTCTCAAAAGGTTTGAAAGTTGTTTTTGTTCAGGATTTGTCTGGATGAGTTCTTTAAGTGTTGACATTGTTTCATAAATTAATAAAATTAAATAATTACGATTATAATAATATGAGATGGGTAGTTTATTATTGTAATAATAATAATTAGGAAAAAATTTTCTTAAAGCAACTTACGTGTTAATATTTATAAGGGTTTTTTTGTTTATTTTATTTTCAGAGGTTTGATTTTAATTAACTTTTTTGTCTTTTTAGTACGAATCAAACAAACAACTTTATATGGTAGTTTTATTTTGTTATTATAATAATTAGGAAAAGGTTCTTAAAGAAACCAACACATTAATATTTACAAGTATAGATAGATATGATTTTAATTAACATTTTTATCTTTTAGTGCGAATCAAAACAGCTCATAAACTTGTTTATTGATTATGCCAGTTCAAATTTGTTGTGAAAAAGTATTAGAACGTAAAATTATTGCAAATATATTTAGTAATAATGCGTTTATTAATGAATAAACAAATAATGCGTTTTTATTGCTGCCAAAGCATTAATATTAATACCTGTGTATTATTTAAATTATGCTTAATTTTTGACACATTTTTGTTTATAATGTAACTTGTCACAAAAACATTTAAATGATAATAATAATACTTTTGTTGATAGATTATCTTATTTTAATTTCCATTAAAAGAGTTAATAAATAATTAAAGTTTTGTGAGAAAATCTCGAAATTATTAATTCAGTTACTGTATATGAATTAAAAAAATCATGTAACGGTCAGTAACTTGTTAAATTTAATTATTATACTCGATAAACCTATTATTATTCATAATCAAGAAATCCCAAGTCTTTAATAGTGTTTCGTCTTTTTCCAATAAATTTCTTGTTGTCAATCTCAATTCAAGAGTTTGGGTCCAATTGTGTCCATTAACAGATCCAAAGTATCATCGTTATCAACCTCATCGTCAAAAAAGTGAACTCTTGCGAAATTAAGTGTATCCAAATATTTTGGTAATACTTGATTTAACACCTTGAGTATTCTATTGCCATCTAATGTATGTATATAATTTATCATATAATACAGTTTGTGAATGTTTCCATTAATTGCTCATTTATAAATTATCTAATTTTTTACAATTGAGCTGAAGCAAAGTTTCTTAGATTTGAACATCAAGTGGTTTACTTTTAATTGCAACATTTTCTAGTATTTTTCCGTTCAATTTAACAAAGTTCCCCAAGTCTAATAGAAACGTTTTTGGAAGATTGAGAATTTTAATTTCTACTGCAAAATTTTTTTAATGATCGACATTGAAATTTCATATGAAAAAATGTCTTCAAACCCTATTTTATTCTTTTTTTTTGTGGAGTTATTTAACCAAATTTAACACATACAGTTACACCCTATAACGAACTTTTGGGCCGGGCTAAATTTTGTAGATATCGACATTGAAATTTCATATGAAAAAATGTCTTCAAACCCTATTTTATTCTTTTTTTTTGTGGAGTTATTTAACCAAATTTAACACATACAGTTACACCCTATAACGAACTTTTGGGCCGGGCTAAATTTTGTAGATAATCACATGGATATACTTATTTAAAAAAAGAATTAATTGATGATCCGTCTATGCATCAGAGAAATGTCAATCAATTTATTATAAAAATGCGGGGGAAATTTCATATTAAATGATTGGCAAAAAAATCAAAAAATCATTAATTCGTGTTTCGCCGATCATGTGTATATAGAAAAGTAATAATGATCTGCAGAGTTAAGTTAATTATAATTTTTTCTTCTAAAAAAGAATCTCACGCTGTCTATATAATAAATCCAATGAATACCAATAAAAATTACCACGTAACTTTACTTTCTAAAGGTGAGATTGTTCCTAATTTACATTATGGAATAAATGCTAAAGAATGGTGGATTCAAGCTTCACCAAACACAAACAATATTTCACCACTATATCCACTCAGAGTTGGTATGAAAACTATAATAGAATTGAAAGGATATTATTTTGTTACTACTATTATTAAAGGAAATAGTATTAGTCCTGAATTGCCTGGTTATTGCTGTCAGTGTGGTTCATTTACAACTACTGTTGAAGATTCTTCTACTGCAGCAATTTCTAACTGTTACCAAAAATTTTTTAATGTTGGGACTAGATTTTCTGGCATAAAGGTTATAGGTTTTGAAGATCAAATAATTTTGAAAGAATTATTGACTGCTATTAGTTTTCAACCACTATCAATTCTGCTAGATAAAATATCCAACAATATATTCAAAATGGGGTTTTCGTCAAATGAGGAATGGCATAGAGCAGGTGATGGCTATTTATCATCATTTTCATATGCATACAAGAGAACTAATTGCAATTTTATCCAAAAAATATCAAATGGATTATGTTATGTTGAGATTTGGAATAAATTGAACAAAGTGGGCAGTTTTGTTGAAAATACTCCCACAGCAGTTTGGCAACATATTGGAATTTTATCCAAGTATACTGGTGATCAACTATTTGGTTTGACAAATTCTAATATACAGAGAATTTTATCTAATAATAAACCTCTTATATGTATACCTTCTGATTGGGCCAATTTAGAAATAATGGAAAAATTATATAATCATCATCTTAAAAAAAACAATTTCAAGTGTTAATTGGTATGATCTTTTTTTAACTTGGTTAGATCAAAAGAGTGAAGTAATTGAATTATATACAAAATTATCAGAAATATATCCACCAGGACATAAATTTAGTAAACATGAAATTGAAGCTTGGCATCCAATGTTGAGATCAACTAGTTGTAAAAATATAACACCTTTCCCAAGAAAAGAATCATATGTAAGTACAATTTTATTTGTTGATTATTCATTTATTATTATATTTATTTTTATTTGGATTATTATTTAATAAACACTATTTTTAAGTTTGAATTTTGGACTAGAGCTGAAGATGAATCCAAAAATAAAGAAACATTCAGATATTTATATGAAAATGGTTTTTTAAATTTATATCCAGACCAACAACAAGACTCAATACCAAAATTTTGGAAATGTTTTAAAGAATCATTAAAAAATAATAATAAAGGTAGTAATGGTATACAACATATATTGTCAATAATTGCACAAGAGTTTTCTTATAAAGAATTACAAGATATGTTGAATGTAAGTTCTTTTATTTATCATGTTTTTATATAAAAATAAAACTAATTTATTTGTTGATCACAAGGTCTCACCTTCAACAATAAATAATGCAAGAAAATATTCACGTATTAATGGAGCAGGTGGTGTACAATTATCTAGTCCAAAAATAAAAAAGAAATCAACCATAACATCTGAAATGCAACAGCAATTTGATTCCTTTTTGCAGATAAAGCAAATGTAAGTATGAGCTCATATAAAGTTCATCCTATTACTAATGAACCAATACTATATTTACAAGACCAAAAAGAATCTCTCTGGAACAAATTTTCTGAGACTTATCATAATGGTATGAAACGTACCACATTTTTGAAGCAAATAAAAGATGGTCCATTCATATATTGTGAAGATCTTGGAGGATTGTGTTCAATTTGTTGTGAATTTGGCTATGAAGTTTTTGATGATTTAAAGAAATTGATAAGTGTACATATAGTAGATAAATCAAATCAGGTATTTTAATATTGATTATTTCAACTTCAGACTTTAAAAACCTTTTTGAATTTAAATTCATATTTATTTCAGGAGTTTTAACTATGGCCAAAACAAACATTTTTATTATTATAATTCTTATTTATAATTTTTATTTATAATTTTTATTTACTAATTTTATATTAGGATTGTTTATATTCTAAAATAGATATCATTAAACGGCATTATAAACGTGAATATGAGCTTGAATTAGAAATAAATAATGATGGAACCATACAGCACAACAATTGCATAAATCATTGTTTAACCTTTGCTTTTGGAATATGTACACAACCACACACAACAATATGTTTAAAATGTTCACAACTTTATGATTTTTTTCATGAACTAGATACATATTTGCCAGAGCAGAAGTGTTTACTTGATGAATATCAACAAAAAAATTTTTATTATATTGCTCACCAGACTAGGAAAGTATATCTTAATTCACAACTCCAAGCAAATTTAAAAACATTAGATAATGATGGAGCATTATTAATTGTTGACTATAAGATGCGCATTTTGCCAAAGTCTGCACGTGAGACAAAACAGGAATTCTTTGGTAAACATAGCTGGACATTACATTCTGTATTACTTTTTACTAAAAAAGAAAATTCTACAGAGCTAAATATTTCAGCATATGATCATTGGTCAACAGATACTTGTCAAGATGCTTGGTTCACAGCATCTTCATTACATGCTGTCTTTGAAACCATTCATAATAAACCTAAATGGGTTGCTATTTTTTCAGATAATGGGCCTCATTATCATAACTCAGAATTAATGGTTATATTGTCACAATGGAAAGATTGGTATGATATTGAAATAAAAAAATGGATTTTTTTAGAAGCAGGTGAAGCAAAAACATGTATTGATTCACATCATGCCCAGGTAATATTTTTTTCATTTTCATTATATTTATTATTATTATCATTGCTAAACAATTGTTTCTTTATTGATGTTTGAATTAGATTTCTCATTCCATAAAACGTTATGTTAGGTTAGGTTTTGATATATCAAATGGATCTGATATAGAGAAATCTATAAATTTACATGGTACATCTGTTTGTAATTTGGAGCCAAATAGGGAAACAGGTAAGAAAAAAATAAATACAATTAGTGGTATATCCAACTGGTTTGAATGGGGATGGCCTGTAGATGGATTATATGCTGGATATATTCAAGCACGATCATTACCTAATATTGGAGATTGGAATAATATACCCCCAACTAAATTTAATAAAAACAACATGGAGTTATTGAAACCTGAACCATTTGTTCCTGTTCCTAATGAATCTAATTCAAAGAAAAGAAGAGTGGAGCTATCAAAAGAGCACCAAAAAAATTCAGAAGCTATAAATTTACAAGGTGAAGTTAAAATAATTTGCTCCATTTTAT